AGGATGATGATTGTTTGGACTGATTGAATTTTATGAAGAAGTAGATTAAATTAAATTTCTTATATCATGTGAAGGAAATAGAGAGGGAAATTTTTAATGTACTAACTTCAGTTATATATGTATGACTTTATTTTTGGATAACTGATTTCCCCTTCACCACGGTGTTCCTGAGCACTCTGATGTAAAAATTAAAAAACCAATAACATTTGTTTGAAAAAAAAAAAGAAATATTAGACAAGAAATCAAAGGACTAGAAATAAAAAGTGAAACATACAAATTACAAGCATTTGCAGATGACTTGGTATTTATTTTAGAAAAACCTTTGGAGATGATTCCTAAACTACTGGGAAAGATAGAACAGTATGGAAAAATAGCAGGACTGAAAATAAACAGAGAAAAAACTGAAGTAATAGTTAAAAAATTTTCAGATAAAACAAAAAAAAAAACCCCTAATGTCAGAAAAAATAGAACTACAAATAGTTAAAAAGGTTAAATACTTGGGAATATACTTAACAGCAAGATGTTCAACAATAAAAGAAGATAATTATACAAAATTATTGAACCAAATAAGAATGGATTTGAAAAAATGGAAAAACTTGCAATTGTCAATAATAGGAAGAATTGCTACAATGAAAATGAATATATTACCAACAATTTTATTTCTATTCCAAACAATACCTATAAAACTTGAGAAAAAATTCTTTGAAGATTTAAATTTATTAATTTTGAAATTTATTTGGCAAGGAAAGAAAGCCAGAATCAAGATAAAAATGTTACAAGATGCCAAGGAAAATGGAGGTTTTGGTTTATTGGAGTGGGTTTTATATTATCAAGCATCTGTATTAACATGGGTAAAAGAATGGATAATTCTTAGAAACAAAAGATTGTTATATTTGGAGGGACATGATTTACAATTGGGGTGGCATGCCTTCTTATGGTATGGAAAAATAAAATTCATAAGTACTTTCAAAACCACTATATAAGAAATGCATTATTAACAATATGGGAAAAAATAAAATGTAAAATATATCTGAAAATTTCAGGGTTAGTTAATTTAAAACTAATTCAAAATTAGTTAATTTTGAAAAAATCCAGACATATAGAGATATTTTAAATAGTGAAGGAAATTTAAAATCTAAACAAGAAATGGAAAATCAGGGCATATATCTATCATGGTAGGCATATTTACAAATGCAGGTTAGATTAAACTGTATGGATTTTACAAGAAGCAAACTTTGTTTGATAAGATATTATTAACTTCTGACGAGAAACTAATTAAGAAAATTTATAATTTTCTATTAAAGTTGAAACTGGAAAGTGAACACGTTAAAGAAACAATGATAAGATGGGCAAAAAAATTTGGATACAATATAGAATTAGAAAAATGGCAAAATTTGTGGGAAAGAAATTATAAACTGACAATGTCAACTTCTTATAAAGAAAACATATAAAATGTTTTATAGATGGCACTTGCCACCAGCAAGACTAGCAAAAATGTTTAAAAACATGTCAGATAGATGTTCTAAAGAGCCTCTTGATGCGGGTGAAGAAGGAGAGTGCAAAAGTAGGCTTGAAACTCAACATTAAGAAAACCAAAATCATGGCATCCGGCCCTCTCAATTCCTGGCAAATAGATGGGGAAGAAATGGAGGTAGTGACTGATTTTATTTTTCTGGGCTCAAACATCACCTCAGATGGGGACTGCAGCCAAGAAATTAAAAGACGCTTGCTCCTGGGGAGGAAAGCTATGGCAAATCTAGACAGCATACTAAAAAGCAGAGTCATCACCCTGCCAACAAAAGTGCGTATAGTCCAGGCCATGGTTTTCCCAGTTGCAATGTATGGCTGTGAAAGTTGGACCATAAGAAAGGCTGAACGCAAAAGAATTGAGGCCTTTGAACTATGGTGCTGGAGAAGACTCCTGCGAATCCCTTGGACTGCAAGGCGTTCAAACTGGTCAGTCCTAGAAGAGATCAACCCTGACTGCTCTTTAGAAGGCCAGATCCTGAAGTTGAAACTCAAATACTTTGGCCACCTAATGAGAAGGAAGCACTCACTGGAAAAGGGCCTAATGCTGGGAAAGATTGAGGGCAATAGAAGAAGAGGACGACAGAGAATGAGATGGCTGGATGGAGTCACTGAAGCAGTAGGTGTGAACTTAAATGGACTCCAGAAGATGGTAGAGGACAGGAAGACCTGGAGGAACGTTGTCCATGGGGTCATGATGGGTCGGACACGACTTCGCAATTAACAACAACAACAACTTATTACTATGTTTGGTGGACATGTGCCAAGCAAAGAGTTATTGGAAAAGATACATGCCTGGCTAGAAAAGATGTTGGGAGAATGTGTAGATTTTAAAACCTGAACTTTTTTTATTAGGTATAATGCCAGAAAAGACTGATAAACAAAGCATGTATTTGATTCTGCATGTTACAACAGCAGCAAGAATTATATTTGTGCAGTATTGGAAAAATGAAGAAATACCATCTGATGAAGAAATAATTTAAAAAACATTAGAATGTTCAGAGATGGATAGACTGAGTCTGAAAGAAAAAGAAGAAACAAAATATTATCAAACTTGGGACTTATTTTATCGATGGCTAGAGGAATGAATAAAGGACTAGGAACTAAATATGTATTAGTGAATATAAACTCAGACAACACATTTATTGAATGTATGAAAAAAATCAATAAAAATCTTTAAAAAGAAAAAAGAAAAAACGTCCTGAGAAGCCCCCAGGATTGCTGCAACAAAGACTGACCCTTCTCAGCCTTGGGAGGAAATAGCCACGAACTTTATAATAGATTTATCTGAGAGCAAGGGAAACACAATAATATGGATTGTAATTTTCCAAACAAGTGCATTTTATCGCTTGTTCAGGACTTCCCTTTGCCCAGAAGCTAACCAAAATGTTTTTGAAACAGATATATCAGCTCCATGGAGCCCCGAAACAAGACTGCAAAGTTCTGGAGGGAGTTCGTTAAATCATTGACTCGGGCTTTTGTCGGCTTTTCATCTTGAGTACAAATGGAGCAGCTGAAAAAGCTAACACAATGGTGTAACAGTATCTCAGATGCTATGTTAATTACCAGCAGACTAATTGGGATCTCCCAATTACATGGAGGTAGCCTACAACAATATTGTGCACAGTGGCACTAGGCTCACCCCATTTAAAATACTGGAAAAGCTACCCCCTGTCAGAAGCTACATAGGTGAAATGTACCAATGTAAAAGCGGACAGTTTAAGAAAAAGGTTTTATGATAAATATCCTCACACGCCTCGAGGAAATACTTAACATGCTTTTTGTTTCCCCTACAGGAGACTCTTTCTTTTTGAGAGGGGCCAACTGTCAACTCTACAATGAGCAGGGCTACAGCCATTTTTTCTTCTCATTCTAGGTTGCCACATAGAACAGAGGGAGGGGGGTTGCCCAGGTGCTTCATTAGTCAAAATAATCTTCTGTCCTGTGGGAACCAAGGTCATTGGCTGCTCCCGAGACTAGGGACTGGGCGTTGCATAAAAAGCCCACCAAATAATCATATTGGGAAACATAGTTGCTTGCATAGTTTTATGGGTGGGACATTTAGTTTTGTATTGGGCAATTGTTACTTGTGTATTTGGACTTGGTTTCACTTTTGACTGTGCCAATACTTTGTAACTAATAATCATGTTCTTTGAGGAAATCTTAAGTCTCAGAGTTCTGCTTTATTCGTCTCTGTCTATCAGAACCATGACATTGACATTGGAACACTGTTATCATGTCACCCCCAGTCCTTCTCTTCATTAAACTAGACATACCCAATTCCAACAACCGTTCCTTATGTTTTAGCTTCCAGTTCCCTAATCATCTTTGTTACTCTTCTCTGTACTCTTTCTAGAGTCTCAACATCTTTTTTACATCGTGGTGACCAAAACCGGATGCAGTATTCCAAGTGGTTTTCCCAGTTGCAATGTATGGCTGTGAAAGTTGGACCATAAGAAAGGCTGAGTGCCAAAGAATTGAGGCCTTTGAACTATGGTGCTGGAGAAGACTCCTGCGAGTCCCTTGGACTGCAAGGCGTTCAAACCAGTCAGTCCTAGAAGAGATCAACCCTGACTGCTCTTTAGAAGGCCAGATCCTGAAGTTGAAACTCAAATACTTTGGCCACCTAAGAGAAGGAAGGACTCACTGGAGAAGGGCCTAATGCTGGGAAAGATTGAGGGCAATAGAAGAAAGGGACGACAGAGAATGAGATGGCTGGATGGAGTCACTGAAGCATAGGTGTGAACTTAAATGGACTCCAGAAGATGGTAGAGGACAGGAAGACTTGGAGAACGTTGTCCATGGGGTCGCGATGGGTCGGACACGACTTCGCAATTAACAACATTCCAAGTATGGCCTTACCAAGGCATTATAAAGTGGTGTTAACACTTCACGTGATCTTGATTCTATCCCTCTGCTAATGCAGCCTAGCACTGTGTTGGCTTTTTTGGCAGCTGCAGCACACTGCTGGCTCATATTTAAGTGATTGTCCACTAGGAGTCCAAGATCCCTCTCACAGTTACTATTATTGAGCAAGGTACCACCTATACCAGAGGTCCTCAACCTTTTGGCTACCAGGGACCGGTTTTGTGGAGAGAGGGGGCGCGGTTTTGTGCGCTGTCTGCATCCCATGGATGGGTCTTTGCTTGTTTATGCGGACCAGTTGCTGGCATGTTGCGGCCTGGTACTGATCCACGGACCGTGGGTTGGGGACCCCTGACCTATACTATACCTGTGCATTTGGTTTTTCTTACCTAAATGTAGAACCTCATCATTGAATTTCATTTGGTGTTGTCTGCAAATTTGATGAGTTCCGCATTGCCTATTGTCACTATTATTAGCACTATAATTAGTTAGCACTATAATTGGGATACAGAATAGCCACTTTCTACTTTCTCAGGCTTCAGCTTTGCTGATTCAGAGTGAATCAGGTAAGTTTTGGAATTCTGCCTTGGTCTGATAATTGTGCTCACCTCTGCATATTGTTCAACCATGGCTGCTTCCATTTCTTCATCTCCTTCCCAATCTCTCCAGTTATCAAAGTCCACTGAGAGCCATGCTGGCTGCAAATAAGATAAACAATTTCTTACAACATGTTCCATCCTTGCTCCTATTATTGATACTTAAACTGGCATTTAAAAATCAAATGATAAATAAAACAGTGGCCTTCTAATTTTCCCATCTTTTCAATCAAACAGGAAAAGAATTGGTATTTAATCAGAATATATTTTGCCCTATCACCAACCTTGCTTCCAACAACTCAACTGGTATAAAATCTCAACTAAGTCCTGTTAACTGCTCCCTTTGACTAAAAATCAAAAATTTAATACTGAGATTTGATAATATAAGTAATCTTTGTTTAGTAACTGCCCACTTTCATAACCATTCATAATGATGAAGAAATAACTTTGTAATCAGTCCTCACAATTACAACTTTTACAAATCTGTAAAGAAAAGGAAAGCTTTTCTTTAAGTGATTGTGGTTTGATTTAGAGACCACTTCACTTAATAATAGTGTTCTCAAGCCCAGTTGTAGTTGTTAAACAAGGACTATGTGTATTTCTTTAAGTGTTGTGGTTTGATTTAGAGACCACTTCACTTAATAATAGTGTTCTCAAGCCCAGTTGTAGTTGTTAAACAAGGACTATGTGTATTGATTCCCTAATTAACCAGGAAAGATGAAAGGTGTCCTACCTTGAAATCTTCTTTGGTGAGACGTGGCCATGGCACTTTATCCTTCCACTTGCGTGCAAAGAGTGTGATGGATCTGCCTGAACGCTTATTGTGGGAATCCTGAAAGGGATTACATTGTAGTAGAAAAAAGTCTGAGTGTTACCAGTTAATTCTTCTATTAGTAACATGTAATTGCAATTAGTTGTATACATTTAAGCTAAGTTAGTTCTATAAATATTGATGTAATCCACATTTGAGGGCCACATTTTTGCTCTTGTTTGCTTTAGAAGATTCTCTCCATTCACAGTAGTCATGGTGATATCTTTGCCTGCATATAGAACAGGGGTGTCAAACTCAATTTCACTGAGGGCCGCATCAGCATTGCGGTTGCCCTTGGGGGGCCGGGTGGGTGCAGCCTACTGGGTGGCATGGACGGAGTGGATGTGGCCTACTGGGTGGGCGTGGCCAGTTCTACATCATTTGCGTCAAGGGTGCCTGTGGGGGCCTGGGCAGGAGAGGGACAGATCTGAGGGTCTTTGGCAGAAGGGGATAGGATCGGGGCAAGTGCCAAGGCATGGTCCACTGGGGCAAGTGCCAAGATTGCCACCACAAAATTATACATTGGCTCCCGGTTAGCCTGGGCCAGGGCCAAGGCAGCGGGGACCATTCCCTCACTGTTTCCAGGATGGCTTCACGGGCCACATGAAACCACTTCGTGGGCCGCATCCGGCCCCCGGGCTTTGTGTTTGACATGTCTGATCTAGAATAAACAATAAGTCTGAGAGCATCCTTGGTCCTTTTTTTCATATAATTTAAACATGTTTTAAAACTATAAAATATGTTGTTTGTAGATCAAGCTTTTTGTCAATAATTGGGAAAGGAATCTCCTATTGAATATAAAATAAAGAAGGGAAGAGGCACAGCAGTATAAATGAGAAAGACCAGAAAGTACTGTTTTTAACCTATGCTTATATTTACACTTTTTACACTTATATATGTTAGTCCAGCCATATGGTTGATTTCTCAACCATACACCAATCCCAAGCCTGGATAAACAAGGAGGGTTACAAAAAGCAATGGTGAACTGTTAAAAAATCTCACCAGAATACTTTATGATAATAACTCAATATAACTCAGATATTGATATCAACAGCAGGCCTTCCAGGCTGGATGGTAGCCTGCGAGCTACTGGAGAAGAGCATGGACGAGCTGTTAGCAGTCAGGGATTTTATAATGTTGGTGGAGGAAAGCCTTCGGGAAGCCCAACAATTGATGGTGCTCATGGTGAAAGAGGTGGCCTACGCTGTACAAAGTTATATCAAATTGGAACTTGGAATGCAAGAGGCATGTCCCTTGGGAAATGATTAGTGTGAACATAGACATCCTTGGCATCAGTGAGTTACACTGGACAGTTAGTGGTCAATTCAAATCAAACGGGTTTATGGTTTTCTGGAAATAATATCAGACGGAAAGGAGTTGCAAACAAATGGCTAAATGTTTTGAGAATCACAGAGCATACAGTGGTTGGATAATATTTATCCAAATTCGAGACAAGCCACTCAACATCACTATACTACAAATCTAAGCCCTATAGACGCAAGTGATGATGAAATTCAACTTTTGTATAGGGTGAGCTTCAAAGTGCTCTCAAGCAAATACCAAAAAAAAAAGAATTTTTTATATATTATGAGTGATTTTAATGCAAAGGTAGGTAAAGGAGGAGTTGCAAGAATAGTAGGCAAGTTTGAGCTAGGTGAATGGAATGAAGCTGGCAATTGTCTAATGCAAATTGCCAGGCAAATCATCTCATCTCAACCACATGAACATGTAGTTTATTCTACACAAGCAACATTTATACACATGGACAGCACCAAATGGACAACATCTAAATCAGATAGACTTCATTTTATGCCAACAACGCTGAAAAGATTCAGTTGTGTTTGTTAAGACACTTCCTGGTGCTGATTGTAATTCAGACCATCAGCTATTAGTGGCTAAACTGAAAACCTGTGCAAAATGAAAAAAGATAATATCTCTCCAAAATTCAGATGACCAACATCTCACCTATATATGCCACCTATATATGCCATATGAGTTATGAATAGGTTTGAGTCACTGAATTTACAAAGGAAAGACCCAAATGAACAGTGGAGAGATCGAAAGTAACATCGTGGAAATTACTGGAAAGTATCTGTCATGCCAAAAACGAAAGAGAACAAACAAGTGGCTATTGGATGACACCATCAAAATAGCTGATCAGCTAAGGACAGCCAAAGCCAAAGGTAATAAGGATGAAATTAAAAAGCTGAATGAAATTTTGCAGTGGGAAGCCAGGAAAGATAAAAAATAAGCAGTGGGAGCAGCAGTATCAGTATCTGGAAGAAGCTAACAGGAAGGGACATACTAAAGTCATGTTTGCCATAGTGAAAATAATGCAATCTAAATTTTCAGCACAGCAAAGATTGCAATGGGAATGCACTAAGTGACCAGCAGAATATCAAGAATAAATGGAAAGAATATATGGAAGGACTCTATAGCAATTTGACTTACCATCAAGATGACAATGATGGCAGCATAATTAATAAAGAACCAAACATCTTGAAAGAAGAAGTAGACTGGGCCATGGAGAAATGGGAAAGCCCTGGGTATTAATGGAATACCTGCAGAATTACTAAGACCAGTGCCAGTTAACATCATCACTGCTCTGTGTCAATAGATATGGGCTACATATCATGGTTTAGTAGTAGGAGAAGAAGGGACAAACAAAGAACATGCTGGCTTTATAATATCAAATCTGATACAAACTTGAACATCCAACAATTGAAAGAAGCTGTGCTTGACAGAGTCAGACACATCTAAAGGTTAAAACAACCAAACATATTTACACATTTTCATTTAAGCAATACTACAGAAATAAAATATTGGTTAAAATAAACTCTTAAAATAGAGCTCATCAAAAAGGAAACAATTGAGATATGCAAGGGTATAATCTTAAGGATGTATTCATTCTATTCAATACATCACTGAACAGTTGAACCTATCCCGTAAAAAAAAGAGTAGTGCTAAAATCATCCACCGCTATGGTATTATACCATTGTTTTTTTAAAAAAACGATTCTTTATAGTATGAAAAAATTGAGAAGAGTTACAACCTAATATTTTTTTGACAACATCACATAAATGTCTCACAGAGTTAACGAAGTATGATTAATCCAAAAGTGTGCTTCCTAACAAAAATCTTCTTGTGTAATCATCTTCATTTATTTCTGGTATTTTTTACATAGGGGTTGTTAAATGTCTCCCACTAATAACTCCCATGAATAGGGCAGCCAAAAGGAAAGAGATTAAGATGGGTAGAGAGGCAAGTGGGAGCGTTAGTGGCAGGCCCCTTACTTACTGAGGCTTAGAGCTGGAGGGACCAGGTCAGAATAGTTTAGATTGTGTGGTAGGTACTCACTTAATGACCTGTAATTCTTAATTTATGATCAAAATGGGGAGAGTTGGGCTTGCTGTCATAAATTGGTGCAGTCACATGACATCTTGCTTTATGACCACACCAACTTACAATAGAAATTTCAGTTCCAAGTATGATTGTAAATTGAGAACTATCTATATCAAAGAAAAACAGATGTACTTTTCCATCCCAGGGCTCCCATGAGCTGGGTCCTCTCAATTCACTTGCTTACCTTGGAATTTAGTCGGGCATAAAAGTGAATCTCGTTGTATATTTCAGTGCCATCAGTATTCTTACAGCTGCAGAAAGACACATAGTAAATACATTTGAAAGACTCTCCTTTCACAAATGCTACTGCAGATAACTGGCTTAGTAAAGTAGCTACTACAGGTAGTCCTCGATTTACAACCCTTCAATTAGTGACCATTCAAAGTTACAACAGCGCTGAAAAAGTGACTTAGAACCATTCCTCGCACTTACAACTATCATAGCATTCCCAAGATCAGTGATCAAAATTTGGTATGTATTTGGGCACTTGGCATGTATTAATGACAATTGTAGCATTCTAGATCATGTGGTCACTATTTATGACCTTTCCAGCTGGTGATAAACAAAGTCAGTGGGGGCAGCCAGATTTGCTTAATGATCATTGAATCACTTAACTGCAGTGATTCAACAACAGACAAAAAAGGTTGCAAAATCAGGCATAATCTACTTAACAACTGCCTGGTTTAGAACAGAATTTCTGGTGCCAATTGTAGTTGTAAGTCAAGGACTACTTTTATATCACTTAAACATTACTAATCCACATTCTAAAGGCATACTTTCCTAAAATAGAAGACAATATTTTCTTACCTGAATATTACCTTGTAATCATCAAGGTCCACTTTTACATCCCTGCTGTCTTCCACGCAGAATTCCAGAAATACATATCGTGGACGGTCATACCATAGAGTTTTGGCTGGTTGTCTTAAGGAAACAAAAGAAGAATACACAATGGGGTGGTAAAAGTGTGAATGCCATCCAAAGAACTTATGGAACCTCCAGCTATTCCATATTATGGTTAGCTGCAGAGATATTTAGACTGGATCTGGCATATTTATCCACCTAGTTCATCCTTTCTAACAATCTGGAGCAGGCAGATGTTGTTTAATGGTATTAAAGATGTATTGTCATAGGATGTGAACTGTTCCAAGTGAACTGCCTTTTTCAGATGATTTGATAGTAATTTTTTCAATGCCAATGGTATTCAAGTGATACTCCAGTTGTTTTGGGATTGTACCCAAGCCACCTAATACTATTGATACTATCTTTGCTTTCTTTTGCCATAGTCACTCAACTTCTATTTGCAGGTCCTGTATTTTGTTATCTTCTCCAGTTCTTATCTCTTCTCTTGTCTCCAGGTACTCTCATGTCCATTATAATTCTAGACTTTATTATTATCATTTCATTTTTAATATATAACTCAAGACAATGAACATACTAAACACAGGTAGTCCTCAACTTATGATCACAACTGAGTCCAAAATTTATGTTGCTGTGAGAAATTTGTTAAGTGAATTTTGCCCCATTTATGAATTTCCTTGCCACATTTATTAAGTGAATTACTGCAGTTGTTAAACTAGTAACACGGTTGTTAAGTGAATCCGGCTTCCCAATTGACTTTGCTTGTCAGAATTTGCAAAAGGTGATCCATAATCTTGGGACATTCATAAATGTGAGTCAGTTCTCAAATATTTGAATGTAGATCATGTGACCATGGGGTTACTTCAACGGTCATAAGTGTGAAAATGGTCATAAATCACTTTTTCAGTGGTGTTGTAACTTTGAATGGTCACTAAGTGAACTGTTGTAAGTTGAGAACTATCTGTATTCCTGCCTTTTATTTTTCCACATCAATAATCTGAGGGGGGCTGGGCTGAGAAAGTGATTAACCCAAAGTCAGCCAGGCAGCTTTTATGCTTAAGGGAGGCCTAGAACTGCCAGTCCCCTAGTTTCTAAGTCATCATTATAATCATTACATCAAACTGAAAAAAATATAATATAGAGAGTTCTATTTTAAATTATTACAAGGTATTGTATGTTTCATTATATTTTTCTCAGTTGGTCTTGCAAGAATTTTATGCTTCTTAAAGCAGATATATGTAAATGCCATTATAAACTTGCTTTATTTAGTACAGAATCATCTGGTAGCTATTGATCTGTATAGCTGGATTGATGGAGGAACTACTCACAATGATCCTGTGAAAAAGACAGTAAGGAACAATTATCTCAACTTAAACTGTAACCAGCTGGATTGGAAAACTTCTTGTCACAAATGACATTGAAGCATCTGAGCAGTGAAGAACAGCAGCAGGACCTTTAACTCTAGAAGCAGTGTTGTCATCTGTGTGCTGAGTAACCCATTTCCCTCATACAGGTAGTCCTCAAGTTACAAGTGTAATGGAGCCTGCCCATTTCACTTGTAACTCGAAAACTCATAGACTGAATCTTGTACCTCGAACGAGTCGTTAAAACACACACGGCTCATTAAGTGAACATGAGGTGTCTCAGGGTGGGGAAGGCCATGGAGGGCCTAGTGATTGAACAGGCCCCCAAGACCTCCCCGACCCATTAAGATACCTCATGCTTTCCGCTCCCTTCCTGCCGCACTGGACTCACTTTGAAAAGATCTGTCTCCTCTCTGCCGCAATTCCTGCTGCCACCTGGAACTGAGACCAGGGAATGCTTCTGTTGCCCCCCTCTCACAGACCAATCTGGGCTCCAGAGGCCTTTTCCAGGCTGCTGCCGCCCAGATCTGAGACCAGGGGATGCTTACGTAGCCCTCTGGTGGCCCGTTTTTGGGCGGCAGTGGCCTGGAAAAGGCCTCCGGAGTCCAGATCAGGCTGCGGAGGAGGAGCGCAGAAGCATTCCCTGGCCTCAGATCCGGGCAGCAACGGCCTGGCAAAGGCCTCCGACGTCCCGATCCACCCTCCGGAGGCATGTGGAAGCGCCCCCCAGCTTCAGCTCCATTCTCTGTAACAGAGACTAGAGACCTAAAGTACTATGACATCACACGAGATCAGTAGCGTGAGATCTTGCCCCACTGATCTCGTGTAATCTTGTGTTACTTTAGGCCTATATTCTCTGTGAACACACCAAAGCCTGGAGCAGCCAAGAAAGCGAAGGATCTTGATCTTCGCAGGGTGAGTATTGAAGGCCTGGTGCCTAGGGAGATCCGGAGCAGGGGTGGGAAGGGAGGGAGGGAATAACCAGGATGAATGTTGCAGAGCCACTGCGGTCACTCGTAAGGGCGAACGACTGCCTGGTGCTGCAATATTCGTATTTTCAGGGACTTGCTCGTAAGAGCTAGGGGACGCTCATCATGTAATTTTGAACAAATGTTAAGTGAACGCTCATAACTTGGGGATTACCTGTACTTACTTGGCTATTATTAAGAAATGATAAAGCTTTAGGAAACAGTGCCTAGGTTTTCTTCTTTTCATTTTCTTTCTCCATCTCCTTTTCCTTTTATATGATTATTATCATTATGTATGTGTGTATACAGTTTGCCCTGGAGTTTAAATCTATAAGGCATGCACACGCATATACTTGTACAAACACAAAATACATGGAATTTAATGAAGAGAGTTTTAAGTGCTGTGATTTACTATATTGTATGAATCAAGATAATAGATTTTTTGTTGTTGCCTGTTGTGTACACAGGCATTCACACACACATTCTTGCTTGTACTCTAAATGGCACCATATTAGATCTTTTCCCTTTTGATATAGACTCCTGGACTTAATTGAGGTCAGAGAGACTGGCTCTTTTTTTCTTGAAAAAGGAACTGTGAGAAGTTTTACATCCAAATATATTTTATTCTTTATACTGTTTCCATCTACCCTTAAAATATTAACAAAATCCAAATTAGTCTGAGAATCAGTGTCTCCATTAGATAATTGACAGTCAAACTGAAACTAGAATGTTTTAGTCAAATATGTTTATCAATGTTACAAGGACAGTCCATATGCTAATTAAGAGGAAGAAATTGCAAACCCACAACCGAGCAAAAGCTTGTTTCCCAACTCCATTGCAAAGTATATTAAAAGTAATACTAGCCTCATTCTGCCTTTATATTTGTAAATTGCACTATAAGAGATAAGTGGCATGCATGGATAAGCATAGCTGCCATGTTTATATTTTTATAAATATATATGCTTTGCTTATAAGAAAGTTAATGATTTGTAATTATATGTAGAAAGGGGAGTTGAAAAAAGAGTAATCTAGAAGAAAAAGCAAGGGAAAGCTTATACCAGTGGTGGTGAACCGATGGCATACGTGCCAGAGGGGGCACTCAGAGCCCTCTCTTTGGGCATGCGAGCCTTGCTCTTTGGCTAGGTTTTCGCAGGAAAAAGCCATTCCTCAAGCCCCTTCCTAAGCAAAACCTTGAACAAGCATGCTCAATCTGGAGGCTTGTTTTCACAGGGTTGCTCTAAAGAAGAGTGAGGTGTGTTCACTCCGGAGACATGTTTTCGCTAAGAAGGGGCTTGAGAAATGGCTTTTTCCTGTGAAAACTTAGCCAAAGAGCTTGCAGCCTCTGCCAGATCTCCACTGGGATAAAGTCTTTTAGCTCCTATAGAGCGCTTCTAAACTCAGCCAATCCCTGCGTTTGGAAGCACTCCATAGGTGCTGAAACATTTTTTTATCCCAACGGAGATCTGGCGGACTGCAAACTCCATATGCCTGGAATGGGGCACTTGAGAAACAGAGCCTTCTGCCAGGTCTCCATTGGGATAAAAAAATATTTCCACACCTATGGAGTGCTTCCAAACGCAGGGACTGGCTGCGTTTGGAAGCGCTCTATAGGAGCTAAAACACTTTATCCCAACAAAGATCTGGCAGAGGCTGCAAGCTCCGTATGCCTGGAGTGGGACACTTGAGAAACGGAGCGCTCCTTTCTGTGCAGTCACACAGATGCTTCAAAATGCAGGGAATCCCTGCGTTTTGAATAGCCGCACCAGAGCACAAACACTCCACAGTCCACCATGCCAAACCCTAACCCCCACCACACCCCAGGGTATCCACAATGCCAAATCCTAACCCCCACCCCAGGGCAACCACATTCCTTCACTAACCTTTCCAGCTCCGTTCTCCGTGTGCAGGGCAACAAAAGAAGTTTGTGGGACTAAAAAAAAAATCTGACCTTCCAACTTCTCACGAAAAAAAAGATCTCGCAAAGTTGGAAGGTATGGTTGAATTTTTTTTTTAACTGGTAGTCCCACAAGCTTCTTTTGTTGCACGCCGTGGTGGAGAACAGAGCTCAAAAGGAGGTTAGTGGCTTTGGGGAAGCAAGGGGAGACAGCGAAAGGTCTGTTCTGGCCTCCGCTGCCTCACTCCACCATCGCAGGCTTGTTTTCACCAGTAAAAAGCCATTTCCCAAGCCCTTTCTGGCAAAAATGGAGCCAAAGAGCACCTCGCTTTTATTGAGAGCAATCCTGCGAATACAAGGATGACAAAAGACAGCACAGTTAGTTCTGAAAATGAAATCCTTAAAAGTGTGGAATTCTCTGCCAAATAATTTTAAGTCAATGAAAGCACTTTGGATTGCTTTCCTTACTTTGTTTGGATCATCTTATGCTTGTGAGCAGCTGTTTTCAGCTTTGAATTATATCAAATCTGACACCAGAAACAAACTAGCAGATGACCTGAGTGCTGCATGCGTTGCTCTCAAACTTACAAAGTATGAGCCAAGGTTAAACAAATTATCAGCATGCATACAACAGCAAAAATCACATTAATTGTTCAAAAGCATGCCAAATGAAAACTTTTATCTTTCAGTAAAAAGCTGTGTATCACTGAAAGCTTTGTTATTGTGTTTTTCTTTTAAGACAAAAGATGTTAATGTATGAGTTGTTTTTTCTAAACTAAAACCTCAGTATTCAGGTTAAATTGCCACATTGGCACTTTGTGATAAATGTGGGTTTTGGGTTGCACTTTGGGCACTCGGTCTCTAAAAGGTTCGCCATCACTGGCTTATAATGTGTATGGTCAATAATAAGAAAGTTTAAGAAATTAATTCAGAAGATCTGAAGCTAACATATGTTGTGTAGCAAAATTTAAGTGATTTTTGCATTTTAATTGATGAATCCTTAATAATGCATTTAGAACTACAAAGAGGAGATAGTTGTTGCTAAATATGTGCTACACTTGTTTTCTTTTCTCATAAAGCCAAGGAAAAGAAGATAAACAAATTTGTGATGAGAGCCAATTTGGTCCAATGGTGAAGGCATCAAGCTAGAAAGTAGAAGAATGTGAGTTCAAATCCTATCTTAGCCATGAAAGTGGACTGAATGACTTTGGGCAAGTCATTTTCTCTCAGCCATAGGAAAAAGGCACATTTTTGCTTTCACAACCGTTATTGCCTAATCCAGAGTTCCCTGTTTCTCGCTTTGCAGATTGGTGGGGCGGAAGGGAATAGTTCACACAAGCAGCTGGCAAACACACACAGCTCCATTTGTGTGAGCAGTGTGCACACACATCTGCCCTTTGCACAAGTGAGGATGCGTATGCACAAACCCTTCACGGCCCACAGGTTGCTGACCCCTGGCCTAATCTACTGTACTGTTGTATAATCTGCTATGCTGCCTCTAAGACAAATTTGCATTTCAGCCTCTGCCAGTAATCCCATTATCTGCTTACACAGGAACATTTCACCATTGTTGACTCCATGTGGCCAGTAAGAGAAAAAAAAATCTAAAGATATGCAACTTTTTTTTACCTTTTACCTATGTTTTACCTTAAAAAAAAAAATCCCAGTATGGGTAGCAACAGAGCTAAGGCCCAATAGAGGAGACTTGCAAACAGCCCAAATTAGTTACACCACTGATCATTTTTAAAATATTATTTTAACAGCTAATCTGTGTCCTGCTGAAAATGGGAATGGAAACCACTCTGAAATTAAACCATCTTGAACCTCAATCAATGATTTGTTGATCCTCATCCAGTCTATGCCTAGCAAGGGAACTTTTCCTAAAGAGAGAAAATTTGCACACCCCATGTGGAAAGAAGAATCTGCATTCCTGCTGGTGGGCATAATTGAGAACTACAGAAATAGATCTGAAAAATGCCCAATAACATCAATATGGAACCTGAATGGGCACTCAGTAACAGACTTGGCGTTAGTGGGTATAGATGTATGATGAGTGTTAATGGAACCCTGGCTCCCCCACAATAATGCTAACAATTGTCTTTTGATTCAGTAGACTTCAATAGGAGAAACTGCAGTCACTTCAGGAAGAGTTCTCCAAGTTACTGAAAATTAAACAGCATCAGACTTGGTTAGCCTTCATCAACCAAACTGCCTGCTTGATGTTCTACTGAATCTCTTTCTGCTGATCACCACAATGCCAAGACCAATCAACCAGACTGTCATTACAGAATAACAATAAAATTGATTGGGTTTATTTATACTGGAACTCATGGAACAAGGGGATAGTAGGAAAAATGGATATTCATTTGTATGCTTGTAATTATTGGCATGTTCTAATAGATGCAATTATTATTAATGTACCATATATCCACAATGTATATTGGCAAACAAGACCTTAAACCAGTGGTTTTCAACCTTTTTAATGTCGCGACCCCAAGGTCGTAAGTCGAGGACTACCCAACTAGTCGTAAGTCAAGGACTACCCAACCAGTCGTAAGTCGAGGACTACTCAACCGGTTGTAAGTCGAGGACTTCCCTGCCCGGGAGCGCCGCACATGCGTGGTGCCGCCCCCTGCGCTGGCCGAGGCGTAGCTGGCAAGGGGCAGAGACAGAACAAGGGAGGTAAGGCACCCGCTGGGCCCCACGCGTGCCAGCAACCCTCCCTGCACCCGCCAGCCTCCCACCTCCCACCCCTAGTCCTCTTTTACTTACATTTTTAGTAGTTGCTCAGCAGGGAGGGGTGGAAACTTCCAGACAGCTCGCCTTCGCTGCAGACAACTTGCAGCACCGTTTGCAGAATGGGACTTTTGGCGGGCTCAGCAGGGCAGAGACAGCCTGGACAATTCCTATTGGCTTTTGAAAGCCAATAGAATTAGACTCTATTCAAGAGAGTCTATTCTATTGGCTTTCAAAAGCCAATAGAATAAAGGGGAGTAGCACAGCTAAGGAAAAGGGGGGGGGGGAAATGGCGGACTGCGTTGTTTGACGACCCCCGTGAAAAGGTCGTTCGACTCCAAATGGGGTCGCGACCCACAGGTTGAGAACCGCTGCCTTAAACAAATCCCCATCAAGTGAAACTCCAGGAAAAACTTGAGGAAGACTGGGCATGGTAGATTGTGAGGGTTGTCACTTGTTGGGATAATTGGCCTGGTATTGACCCTTTCAAATTATTTTCCTCTCCTTTCCTTATGGATTTCTCAGTCCATAAAATATAGGATTGCATAGTTTGAAGCTTTACATAATTGCTTTTTTTCTAACAATGTTAATTAATGAACCCCTCTTCCTAAAGATGTTTCCCTTATAATGTTACAAATAGACAAAAGGTATGGTTATAAACTACACCCATTACTAGTGTGCATATATATACATATATATGTGTGTGCATGTACAAGGGGACAATTGTGAGAAATTTTATATCCAAATATATTTTATTCCTTATACTATTTCCATCTTCCCTTAAAATATTAAGCGAATCCACAATGATCTGAGAATCAGTGTCTCCACTAAATAATTGACAGTCAAGCTGAACTAAGTTAATCAACTAAAATTAGCAAACCCCCACATAAATTACCCAGACCTAATCCACATATCAAAGGATGTCTACAAACACAGAGTTAATTAAATTCTGTCTCCCAGAGGAACTGCATGTTCACAAGAAAAAACATACCTATGCACATATGCACATACGCCCCTAGAATCAGCACCTGACACCTCAGACAAGTTCCCCCTACAAAAATCTGTTACTGTACCTCATTTTTTTGCAGTTTGCCCCTAAATGCAAACTGTTTTATTTTTAGGAATAAATATTTCTTTTCTCACACCTACCTGTATCTCCTTTTTATTTATTCTAGTGCAACCTGTTTGAGTTGGAACCCCAAATTATTCTAACAGGAATGTTAGATTGAATCGATAATTGAACAGAGAGATCTGCTTGCTATTCTGTAACATATCTGAGTTATTTCTGTCTACTCAGTTTAGGATACTAAGAGGATCACACAAAGTAATGTAATTGAAAAGCTTTAATCAGTTGAATGTTTACAGCTGCTGGCACAAATATATTTTAATACAGTGAATATTAGAGAAGTGAGGAAGTAGGCTTCCTGCCCAAGCATTTTTATTCTATTTTGAGGGGATTCCAGAAGTTAGATCCTCTGAAAGACAGAACAATTCCTATCGGAGAGGTGTCACCAAACCACAAGCACTCACCTTGCCATGATGGCTGCCGTTTACTACCGTATAATCTCTGTCCCTCAGCTTCCCTGCCCTGTCCGGCAGACAGGCTCATTTGATCCCCTTGGGCCAGGCGGAGCTAAATTCAGAAGCTACCCCGCCCCAGTGGTTACTGCCCAGCTCTCGTTTCCAGAAATGTCCTGACACATTCCACAATATATCATGGGTGCCATATATCTATTTTAAGTAGGTAGTGTAGTCACTTTGATCCTTATAGTTCAGTTGAAACAAAAACTTCCTTGGGTAAGCCAGTTTTAATACGATAATTTAAGAGTAGTTATTTTTCATATTTTGGCAGAAACTTTTGAGGACCGGTGTAAATTTGTTTTCAAGATAAGGCACGTTTGCTTAAAAGCATTACGTTCAAGATTTTTGCTCAGCAAATTAATTCTTCATTTCATTATAGAAATACATCAAGTTGCAACTTCTAACATTTTAAATATGCTTTAAGAAAGCTTCTTTGAAAAAGAAATTTCCAAATGAGCGTCAGATTGTTCTGCAAGTATAATTGGTCTGAATTCTATACATGATATAATTGCAGCACAACTTTTAATTCTCTTAGTATATAAGACCACTCCCTTCCTTTGAAATAATCAGTATTATATATTATGTACTTAAGAAAATTCTAGTTAATCTCAGCTGAAGCATGTATCCTTTTTACTAAAATAGCTCTGCTCTTTTCTTTTCTACTGGGCGTTCAGATTCAAACTGAGCCGCTTAAGTTTTAGAACTTAAATAGATTAAACTTTGGTTTAATCAAATTGTTTAATCAAACGTGTTGTGCGAACTCAAACCTCTTGGTTAACTTATATTTAAATTAAGGTGACCAACCATCCTCCTTTAGGAAGACAGTCCTCCTTTTGTAAGTTCTGTCCTCCCTCAAAAAGTGTCCTCCTTCATGTCCTCCTTTTTGATATTTGAAGTCTAATCTGCAGGGCTTTCCCCCCCCCCCTCATAGAACGCTCAGAACGGCGATCCGGCACCTTTTTTTGATGTTTTTTTTTCAACTTTTGCATGAACTGTGCTACTCCCACTATTGACTTTCGAAAGCCAATAGGAATTGCTGCCGAGTGCGCCAAAATATCCTGCTAGCAAACTTTGCACATGCAAGTTGTCTGTATTATTGTTGCAATGAATAAAATGTTTCTTTTATTTACGATATTTTTTCTTCAATTTATTTGTGTCCTCCTTTTCATTGAAAAAAAGTTGGTCACCTTATTTACAAGTGTCATGCAAATCCAGAAAACTGATTTAAATAACCTCGCCCCCTCTAGTCAATCATGGAACGTACAACATAAGAACGCAGCCATGACGCTACTGTACGCACCTGCGCGTGTTAAAAAGAACTGAAGGCCACATCTACTTCCGCATGAAGATTTTCTCTGTCGCGTCTCATAGGACCGGAAATGACGTTTCATTTTGCCGGCCCGATTCCCAGTTGACATTTTAGTAGTTAGCGGCGGCTCCTCGAAGTGGCGGCAATGGAGACTGCGGCGAGTCCCGGGGAGCGCTGGGCACCGGTGGGCGCGGTAGCCGAGGTCCAGGCTGGAGAGGAAGAAGTAGGGGAGGAAATAGAAACCGAACCAGGATCTCCGCGGGCACTTAGGGCGGAACGCCGCCGCCTTCATTCGGCGCTCCTAGCTTTGGCTTCGCATTTCGCACAAGTCCAGTTCCGGCTCCGGCAAGTGGCGCGTGCCGGGCCAGGACAGCAACAGCGTCTCCTCCGTGAGCTTGAAGAATTCGCTTTCCGCGGCTGCCCGGGTTCCGGCCTCGGCTTTGCCGCGGCGGCGGTGGACGGAGTGGGCAGTGACGCCAAGGTGAGCAGGAGCTGAAGGTCATTGTTATAGCCCTTCACTGTGATCTTTCAAGGATACATTAGATAATTTCATTGCCTAATAAATCTGACTTACTTTATATATGATAGATGTAAATCCGGAGCCACCTGAGATAGTTGAATATTAAGCTGCTACAAAGATTTCCTGGAGCTTGTTTCTGTGCAATGTGAAATTTACCCACCAGTAGAAAATATTTCAATTACTTAAAAGTTTTGATGTTGATATTTAAAACCACGAAGTAGATTTCCAGTCCTACATTAAGGGAAACTACCGTAATTAAGGATGCAATACTCTAGTCTTTCAGGAACAATCTGTTTTAGTCAAGTTATTGAAATCAACAGTAGAGGAGAAGAGATAGTTATTATGATCTTCCTAAAATCATAGATTACCTTAAGATTTGGGCTCATTCCTGCTTTTCCTGAGACATGAAATTTTATATTTATAAAGCCACACTTGGAGTTTTCCACTTCATCTAAATTTCTGACACTAATATTAATCACTGAAAATAAGACCAAATTAATTGTGCCAACAGACTTATAAGACTTTCTTTTATAAATATATAAATATGCTTAAGGAGCAATTTAACATGTTAATGGCTGATCAGACTGCAATTAATTTAAGTTACATGAAACATAATACATTTTGTAATGCAAATAAGCCTGGTAGGTGGTTGGCTTATCAATTACAGAAGAAACAGAAGTCAAGGATTATAGAGAAAATAGATTATAAAGGTAAAGAAGTTTATCAAGACTTTCTCTTTTCAGAATTATTACTTGAAGATGTACTAGTCCAGTTTGTTTTTATAACTTTGTGATTAGTAAATAAGCAGATTTTGGGGAACATTGAATTACAAAATTTTCAAACATTTTTGTATTATATGACATTTAATTGATGTATAATCGAGGAGCAGAAATATATAAATAATATTCATATAACCAAGGCAGCATAAAGCTTGGAGTCTTCAGTATCATGTCAACTAATTTCTGCTAATCTCTAACAAGTTACTGCTATCACAGAACAATTGCTCTAACTAAATTTGATATATTGTTGTTGATAGTCACTGACAGTGGATACCAAAAAATTCTGTACCTGTCTGACTCCCACACGGTAATGCGGGACATGTTGTTCTCTACATGTAGTTCTTACATTAGACTATTCACAATTATGATGATGAAAAAGTAATTTTATGGCTAATCCTCACCTTTAAAATTTTCACAGAATAAAGGTAAGGAAAGGTAGCGGAAGATTATAAGTACAATTGTAGTTTTACATAGTGATTGCTTTGCTTAATGACCAAGTTGCCATTGCCAATTGTCACTTTGTAAGGACTACCTATGCTGTAATTTATATGGGGGTTTAATTAGATCCCTCATAAAAGAGTTCCTAGGTAGACATGTTAAACAGCACATTAATTTTTTTCTGATATATCATGAAGTTATTGTTACCCAAAATATTGCAAATTTTTTCTAACAGCTGTGAAGCCACAGCAATGAATAAAAGTAGTCCTTAGAATGGAAACAATTGAGTCTGGAATTTTGATCATAAGTTGTTGTGGTTTGAAGCAGGTTACCATGTGGCATGACGGTCTTATGATGGTCTTAAACCATCAAAAATTCACCACCGTCATTAAGCAAACCACGTAGTTAAGCAAATTCATTCTCCCAAATGGGCATTGTTTTGCAAAAAAACAGCAAAAAAAAAAAATCACAAATTGTGGTCATGTGACCACAGGACATTACAACTGGACATAAATGCTAGCTGGTTGCCAAATACCCAAAATGCAATCATGTGACTGTTGTGTGTATGTATGTGTTTGTGTGTAGCAGTCATAACTTTGAGGGTAGGTCATGAATAGCCTTTTGGAGGTTCGTCATAACTTTGAACAGTTGTTAAGCAACTGGTCATTACATGAGGATTACCTATATTGTCCAGCATAGATCCCCAACCTGTGGGCTGGGGCCCACTACCAGGCCATGGCCTCTTGGCCACAGGCCTTGTGAGTGGCTGGCTAGTGCACATGCCACTTGCGTCCATGCTAGCCTCACTGCGAGCCTCGCTCCTGCACTAGCCTTGCTGCAGCGCTAGCAGCCACATTTGCAGAGCATGCATACTCGCAGCCCCATTCACATGCACGTGCACGCAGCCATATTTGGATGTATGTGCATGCACACATAAAGGTGCCTGTCCCTCTCTTTCCCACCGGGCCACTAACCCAGAAAGGTTGGGGATCTCTGTTTTAAAACACTTATTCTTCCTATAGATTCCTTGTTGCTTCTTGTATATGCTACTCTATAACAATAATAATAAAAACAAAGAAATATAAAATGTAAGGCTATTCATCATGATTTAGAGCCAAAATTCACTGTTTTAATGAGACCTGGTAAGAATGTTTATGACTGCAACCCAAGCATGAACATTTGAATTCAAATGTAATAAACTAAGAATATATGGAATATATATTGTATGTTATTTATAATTATTTCAAAAGTATTTCAAATTCTCAAAAGAATTTGGGAATATTGAAATATTTATTAACATTGGACATTGGTGAAGCATACAAAATCCTAGCTTAATTTTGACTAGAATAGAATAGAATTCTTTATTGGCCAAGTGTGATCGAACACACAAGGAATTTGTCTCTGGTGTATAAGCTCACAGTGTACATGTAAACAGCAAGTAATAGGTCATAGGTAATAGATTATAGTTACAGTCATTAATCATAAGTTTCAAACAACAATTGATAAATCATAAGAAACCAATAGGAGAAGATAGTAGGAAAGATGAGAAGATAAGAAAAAATGAGAAGTGAGACAGTGCTGTGGGAATTAAGTGTTCAGCAGAGTGATGGCACAGGGAAAAAAACTATATGTCTGGTTGTTTTGACGTGCAAGGCTCTATAGTGGCATCCTGAGGGGAGAAGTTGAAACAGATATATTTTCTCAGCCCTCCCTTTGATTTATGTAATATACAGGTCCTCAGTGGAAGGCAGGCAGGTTGCAATTGTTTTTTCTGCAGTCCTAACTATTCGTTGAAGTCTGTACCTGTCCTGTTTGGTTGCTGCGCCAAATCAGACAGTTATTGAAGTACAAATGACAAAGTGATTAATTCCTCTGTAGAACTGTATCTGATTCAGCAGCTCCTTGGACAGTCTGAGCAATGGAATAGAATGGAATGGAATATCTTTATTGTCATTGTGTAACTCACAACAAAATTAAGTGTTGTCCACAGTGCACACTGCACACAAGTAAAAACCACAAATAAGAACATACATTATATACACACATCCTTCATATTCTATTCACCATTGCGCTGCACCATTGCAGTTCAATGTTGCACTATACTGTGGTATTTAATAGGGTTACAGCTCTGGGTTAAAAACTGTTTTTCAACCTGAATTGGTGCAGCAAGAACATTCTTTGCTGTGCCTTTTTAATAATGGTTCTAATGTTAGGTGACCATTTCAAGTTCTTGGAGATAACAGAATCTAATTTTGACTATTCTAATAATCTCAGTATGTTGGTTTTCACTTCAGATGTCAAAACACTCAAAAAAGCCCCCAAAGTGAGAGCTGTGATCAAATCATAAAATGTGTGTTTGAAACTTTTCCAAGATCTTGAAAATCTTCTGAGGTTCTTATACCATATCATTTTTAAAAAAAAATCATTACAGGTAGTCCTTGACTTACGACCAGTTGTTTAATGACTGTTCAAAGTTATCATGGCCTCAGAAAGAGTACTTTATGATCTGTAAAGCACTTCCGGCCATCATAAAACTTTGCACTGCACACACCCTCTTCCAGGGTTACATAATCACATATGAGCACTTGGCAACCTCTTCACACTGTTGAATTAGAAAGGCATATAAAGTAGCTGTCAGGAGATTTTCTAGGTTTTAGCTGTAGGGCATCTTTTCCTGCATCTTTCCAATGATGTGACACATAATCACAATGGATTATCTAGAAACTAATGGATTTGTGGACAGAAGTAAGAGCTGGAAGACAGATGCTCCAAAGGAATGTTGCAATTTCAATTCAAAATTGACAGTTTTATGCAGCAAGAGATAGCAGTTAGGTCTGGAATGCACACAAGGTTCTTTAAGAACTTTAGTCTGATTTTACTCTTAAAGTCAGTAGGAAACTGATAGCACCTTTTCTGATTAACAATTATATAAAAAAACAGGCTTTTGGAAGTTGTAACTCCTTTTATAGCCACTCTGCATTGATTAATTGAATTTCAGGGGGATTAGCCCCTGAAAGCTAATGTTTTTTAATACAATTTTTAATCAGAAAAGATGCTACTAGATTCCTCTTAATTTTTTTGCTCCCATTGACTAACATAGCTCTCCTCCTACAATTACTGTACTCCAGTTTACACAGAGATACAATATTGACTTTTTTTTTTTATTTCAGAATGAGTATGAGAAGCAAGAACAGCTAGAAGCTAGAAAGGAGAAGCAACGAGAACTTATTCTGCAGCTCAAAGCACAGTTGGATGACTTGGAAACATTTGCTTACCAGGAGGGTAGCTATGATGCACTGCCTCAGTCTATGGTCATGGAGAGACAGCAGGTAAGACTCATTGGTATATGTTGTTGTTAA